TAGTCGCGTTGAAAATGCTCGTACGCAGGTAAGTTAAGTATTTCTTTTTTTTCTTTCTAATGTTTGTACAAATTCTGATTTTTTTACCACCTGAGTAAAACACATCGTTTCTTGGTGCTGAATCCAAATCTGGCCGCACAATTGCTCTAGTACTAGAATTTTTAGATATCCTACCCCCAGATTGCCAAAAACACGGGTTTTTGCGATATTTGAGGTTATATAATGAAAACATAAAATCTTTTGCTCATTTCTACTTATGGCATTATTTTCGTGTGTTGCGATTCGATTTTTCTTTCTCGAGATATAGTAGTTTTAATAGTACTTCGGTATTACGTTGTAAAGGCTGGTATGCAGCTCTCAAGAAATCGGTCAAGAAAAATTTGCCATTATTTCGTGTGTGTGTCCAAGGAATTTTGACATTTTTGATACTTCACAGCCTGTTGCCTCACTCTTTCCTCAAGAAATAATGGAACGGGCATATATTTCTGTTGCAAACCTGGGTTGCCTTGTGCTCTTTTTTCACAAAAAACTTTAGAAAACCGTAGTAAAAAGCGTAGCAAATTTCTTAAGAACTGCGTACTGCCTGAAGGAAATTTTACTCAAGAAAATTTCTTAGCCATTTCTTGTACGTCATTTTGTATGGAATTTTAGCTTTTCTTGAGAACTGCAAACAGGCCTTAAGCATGAGTCATTATAGCATGTGTAGAGGCTATTCAATCGTTATGAGCGAAAACGTTTTGTGTATTGATTTATGTATGTATTCTTATAAATATTGTTAATTTTTTGCTTTTGTTAAATACAAACTGTTATGAAAAAAGCATCCTTTGATTAAAACAAATTTGGTGCTTTTAGTGTGGTAAAACGCCCTTTTTCCAAGTTTTTGGTGCTTTTTGAAAATCAAAAGTTGGCAACACTGCATTTAAAAACCAAATAAACAATTATCAACACGGCACTTTGACATCGCGGTGCGAGCGAATTAAAGCAAAGAGGGATTAAAAAATAACGGAATCTAGTCAAGAATTAGATTCTCTTCACCGTATGTTCAGTTAAAAAAGAAAAAGGTGCGTTTGGAAAATTCGACTTTTGGCCACCTAAATCGGCCAAATACCCCTCTGTGCACAACAACGATTTGGACGGCCAAAAACCAATTTGACAAAATTTTGTAGAAAACTTAAAAAATTAGTCACTTTCGACAGAGAACATTCCAAATAACATTTCCCAGTCCCCCTCACTTTTCTAACTTGCACAGCGAACGCTCACCGTTGACCGGAAACAGAATATTCTAACGCTGCCTATAAATAAATTTTCGCTCTCTATGTAGAAAGATCGTGACGGGTTTAAGTTAATATTTTGATCTCTGCATTGTATTCTTAAAAAGTAGTGATGGATCCGCATACAGAAGGTAATAATGCATTTAAGGGTAAATTTTTATACCCGAGAGCACTTGTGCACAAGGGTATATTAATTTTGTTCACATAACGGTTATTTGTAACAGCCAAAATGAATCGAGATAGATATAGACAAATGTATACATAAATGCTCAGAATGAATAGAGAAATCGATTAAGCCATGCCTGTCTGTCCGTCCGTCCGTGTACACGATAACTCGAGCACAAATTGAAATATCTCAACGAAATTTGGTACGTAGGTTTCCGTTAACCCAAGGTAGGTTGGTGTTGAAAATGGGCGAAATCGGACAGTAACCACACCCACTTCCCATATAACGGTAATTTCCAGAAATACGAAAACTGCGATATTTTAGTAACTACTGAAGATAATTCACTCAAAATTGATATTTACAATAATTTTCAGACGAAAAATAAGAATATTATAAATTTTTGGAAAATGGGCGTAGCCACGCCAACTTATGGTAACATGTGTATATCCTGAAAACCGCTGCGCCGATTTCTTCCAAACTTGGTACAGTTGTTGGCCTTGATACAGCATACTAAATGGCTGAAAATTTAAAAAATCGGACCATAACCACGCCCACATTCCATATAACGGTAATTTTCAGAAATACGAAAACTGCGATATTTTAGTAACTACTGAGGATAATTCACTCAAAACTGATATATACAATACTTTTCAGACGAAAAATAAGAATATTATAAATTTTTGGAAAATGGGCGTAGCCACGCCCACTTATGGTTACATGTGCATATCTTGGTAACCGCTGCACCAATTTCTTCCAAACTTGGCACAGTTGTTGACCTTGGTACAACATACGAAATGGCCGAAAATTTTAAAAATCAGACAATAACCACGCCCACATCCCATATAACGGTAATTTAGAGAAATACAAAATCTTCGATAAATCCGTAAATATTAAAGCTAATTTATTCAAAATTGATGCTTGCAACAATTCTTTGCCAAGAAATACGTTTATGGTAAAATTTGGGAAAATGGGCGTGGCACCGCATCACCGCATGATCACATATATGTATATCGGTAACCGTTATACCAATTTGTGCCAAACTCGGTATTTTTATTGTCCTTGCCACATAAAAGCAAACCGTTGAAAATTATTGAAATTGGACTAAAATTACGGCCGCTTTTCATATAACGGTAAATTTCAGAAATGCTTGAAACTGCAATATTTCGGAATTTAAGGACGCTAATTTACACAAAATTGATACCACCCGGCTTACCATCTAGCGGTAGCTTTCGGAAAGGTGAAAAAACATATATTTAATACTTGCGCCGGGTATTTAACGTTCGGCTCCGCCCGAACTTAGGCTCTCTTACTTCTTTTTAATCATTTTATTAGGCGAAAGTTCAATTTAAATGTAACGAAAATAGCAGTTTTCAACGAGTATATTTTTGTTAATTTTAGTGAATATTAAGGAATTTGTTGTATCCCTGGGAGAGATCGCGTTATTATTCTTTGTTCGATTGAAAGCTTAGAAATTTGGCTAATATAGTGTGAAAAGACTGCCCGCAGAAAATGGCAGGTAAGTGGTATTTCTTAACTTAGAAAATGTATTAAGGAAACATCTGAAAACGCAACTTATATATAGTAACACTACTTTAGATCTATTTTAACACTACAATTCAACTTTTTAGGTGAATTTGAGGCCGCTGAACTAGAATATGAATCCATTTATTTTTAATATTTTTATTGAGCTTTGTACCACGATTGTTTATTAGG